TCTCTCTATATTAAAAGTATACGTGTAATATTTTTCCGCTAACTTCAACGTCAGAAAATTGCATTTTGACCATATTTCAACAATGTTTTTTTTTATTTTTTTTTTTGTACTATTATAGATATTTCCTAAAACAAATACATAGGTTGAAAAGTTTAGCACGAGGAACATGGGAAAGTTTTGTGTGGTTAAAGACGACTATTGCTGGAGGGTCGTGAGGGGTGAGGTCGTCGGGGGTCGTTGGTGGGGGGCCGTTGGGGGTCGTTGGGGGTCGTTGGGGGGTTTGGGGGGGTCGTTGGGGGGTATGGGGCTTGGGGTCGTTGTGGGCTGTTCTGTCTGTCGTTGGTCGCTCTTGTCGTTGGGGGTTAGGAAGGTCAGTATTTCTCTCTGCATCATCACACCTTCTGTCCTAACCTAACAAGTACCACTAACTACCATCCCATACGCCTCTAATCACCCTAATTCACGTAACTACCTACCCTTCCTCCGTAACGCACTCCCAAAGCCTCCTAAATCGAATTCTCCCGTAATTGAAGACAGAAGAACGTACTTAATGACTTAACTACAAATAAACAACAAAATTACTACTTCCAAGATGGCGTCCAATTCACACAAAGACTCAACATCAATAAATCTTGCAAAATTATCAATAAAAAATAAAATTAAAGTCTCGTCAACAATTTTATTACCACAATAATAAATAATGAGATGCATTAGGTATTTTTGGCCGCTATTCGTCGCCAACAGGAGATAACTTAACTCCACATTTTTTCCGCTAATTTTCTCGTAAGCAAATTTATCAAGGTAAAGTTTCCCTTCAACAAGTTGCAGGCATTTTATACTCTATTACCTTCATGTGACACTATCTTTATCCGACACTATCTTTATCCGACACTATCTTTATCCGACACTATCTTTATCCGACACTATCTTTATCCGACGCTATCTTTATCCGACACTATCTTTATCCGACACTATCTTTATCCGACATTATCTTTATCCGACACTATCTTTATCCGACACTATCTTTATCCGACACTATCTTTATCCGACACTATCTTTATCCGACACTATCTTTATCCGACACTATCCTGCCCTCCTGCCCACCTTACCAACCCACCCGCCGCCCACACGCCCACTGTGTTTATTCCCGGCTGGCACCCTCCAGGCCATCATCCTTCCCACGAGGAGGAGGAGGAGGAGGAGGAGGGGAGAAGAGACGTAAAAGGAAAGGAGGAGGAGGAGAAGAGGAGGAAGACAAATACTAAACAAGAGGAAATAGAGGAAACGTAGGAGGAGAGGGGGGAGGAGGAGATAATGAAAAAGTGGATGAAGAAGAGGAAATAAGGAGAAGAAGGATATACTGTATAATGAAGAACAAGAACAACAACTACAACTAACAAATAAAGACCACAATAAGACACAGCAGAAAATAAGGAAAAACAACAAAAAATCATTAAAAAACTCGGATATTAGACACTGTAACGGAAGTCGTGTAAACATAAACTGTATAGTCAGGTGCAGGTGATGTGTGGTTGGTTGAGATAATTATGATGTGTAGTAAAAGAGGCTACGAGGGGCGCCATCCTGGGAGAGAGGAGAGTAGGGGAGGAGGAGGGAGAGGAGGAAGGAGGGAGGGGAGGAGGGAAGGGAGTAGGGAGGAGGGAGGAGGAGGGAGGTAGAAGGAAGGAAGGGAGGGAGGGAGGAGGGAGAAGGGAGGGTAGGGAGAAGAGAGGGATGAAAGATGACTTTACTAGAGATGGGAGACGCCCAGGTTATTGAACATCCGCTCTCGAGAACCTGAACACACACACACACACACACACACACACACACACACACACACACACACACACACACACACACACACACACACACACACAGTCTCCAAAACTGGGCCACCAACAACCATACCAAGACCATGGTTATGCACACCAACCTCTCCTCCGACATTATCCCACCCCTTCCATTACTCTAGGTCCCAACACACCCAGGTTGTAGATTCACGAAGCTCCTCGGCGTCACCATAGACAACAAACTAAATTGGAAACCACACATCAGTGAAGTTGTCAAATCCTCCAGTTTCCGTCTCCACCTCCTCCGCCGACTCAAGTCCCTCGGAGTTCCTGCCCCCGAGCTCCTCAGTGTTTACACAACATTCATACTTCCCAAGCTCACCTATGCCTCCCCCACCTGGTCTTCCTCCCTAAATGCCACACAACGTAAACACCTAGAAAAAGTGCAAAAGAGGGCATGCAAGATTATTCTCCCCTTCCTACTCCACATATCAAGAAGCGCCAACACACTGACCCTTTCGACTCTCACTGACCATCACCACGACCTCATCTGCAAATTTGGTAAGAAGCTTCTGCACCATCCTCGACACCGCCCTACTACCACCTGAGATCCCTCGCCCGAGAATTGCTGTTCGACACCACAACCAGCCCATACGAGCACGAACTGATCGCTATAAGAACAGCCCAGTCCCAACCATAGTAAAAATTATCAATAACTTGTAATAAACCAGTGTATTCACTCCCAGTCAATCTTACTTTTATGCACTGTCACTATGTTGAAATGCCCTAGTATAACCTTCTCCCCACCTAGTTATTATATATCTTATTTGTATCACTTATGTTACTTGTATATTATTTGTCAATCAGAGACCCATTCCCAATTATGTAACTGTATATATTCAGCCTTCCGACTGCCATGCTTCTATAAACCGTTAATTATTATATTATTATATATATATTATTATTATTATTATATTATTACCACACACACACACACACACACACACACACACACACACACGCACCTCTTTCAATACAAAATCCCAAATGTTCTTAAAATATGAAAACAAATTAAAAGCCTTTACACGAGGGAATAAAAAACCACAAAAGAAAAAATGGTGATTTTTTAACGAGACTTTTGCCTGAACACAAAAGTTGGAGTGTTAATAAGAGCCAAAGTTTCTCACTGTTCCGCCATACAATAAGTTCACTCACAAAAGTTCAACCTCGGGTAAAAAGTTTCAAATAGGAACTTTTTTTTTTTAGCCGGGAGAAAATTAAAAAATGAAATCGAGTTTTTTTTTACCTGTTAGAAAGTTCCGATATAATATAACCGTAGGTGTCTAATGAAAGTTCAAAGGCGAGAGAAAGTTTAATATATCAGAAAACTTTGGCATTTACGTCAATTCAAAAGTTCAAATGCAAAATATATTACAATTATTCGATATGACAGTTCAACAACAACAACAACAAATAAACAACAACAACAACAACAACAACACCAACAACAACAACAACAACAACAACAACAACAACAACAACAACAACAACAACAACAACAACAACGCCCTTAAGGACTTATCCATTAATACAAATAAATGAAAACACACAACCAAAAAATCCGAAAAAAAACTTTCTAAACTTTCCTGAAATACTCTCTCCTCTCTCTCTCTCTCTCAGCTAAGGCAACACTGGGAGCGACGTCACAAAGGCCTACCATAAATGACGTCACAGAGGGGACAACGAAGCCAAAATTGGTACACACACACACACACAGACACACACACACACACACACACACACACACGGCTAAATCAACGTACATTTGTATGCAGACTTACAGAATAAATATATACCCATCTCTCTACCTACCTACTCCTACATGGACCCTACCTACTCCTACATGGACCCTACCTACTCCTACATGGACCCTACCACCTCCATGGGTCCCACCTACTCCTACATGGACCCTACCTACCCTACATGGACCCTACCAACTCTACATGGGTCCTACCTACTCCCTACATGGACCCTACCTACTCCTACATGGACCCTACCAACTCCTACATGGGTCCTACCTACCCTACATGGACCCTACCTACTCCTACATGGACCCTACCTACTCCTACATGGACCCTACCACCTCTACATGGACCCACCAACTCCACATGGGTCCTACCTCCTCCACATGGACCCTACCTACCCTACATGGACCCTACCTACCCTACATGGACCCTACCAACTCCTACATGGGTCCTACCTACCCTACATGGACCCTACCTACTCCTACATGGACCCTACCATCCCTACATGGGTCCTACCTACTCCTACATGGACCCTACCTACTCCTACATGGACCCTACCAACTCCTACATGGGTCCTACCTACTCCTACATGGACCCTACCTACTCCTACATGGACCCTACCAACTCCTCATGGGTCCTACCCTACCCTACATGGACCCCACCTACTCCTACATGGACCCTACCTACTCCTACATGGACCCTACCTACTCCTACATGGACCCTACCAACTCCTACATGGGTCCTACCTCCTCCTACATGGACCCTACCTACTCCTACATGGACCCTACCTACCCTACATGGGACCCTACCTACTTCTACATGGACCCTACCTACTCCTACATGGACCCTACCTACTCCTACATGGACCCTACCTCCTCCCTACATGGACCCTACCTACCCCTACATGGACCCTACCTACTCCTACATGGACCCTACCTACCCCTACATGGACCCTACCTACCCTACATGGACCCTACCTACTTACATGGACCCTACCTACTCCTACATGGACCCTACCTACTCCCTACATGGACCCTACCTACTCCTACCTGGACCCCACCTACTCCTACATGGACCCTACCTACTCCTACATGGACCCCACCACTCCTACATGGACCCTACCTACCCTACATGGACCCTACCTACTTCTACATGGACCCTACCTACTTCTACATGGACCCTACTCACCTACACATGGACCCCACCTACTCCTACATGGACCCTACCTACTCCTACATGGGTCCTACCTACTCCTACATGGACCCTACCTACTCCCTACATGGACCCTACCTACTCCTACATGGACCCTACCTACTCCTACATGGACCCTACCTACTCCTACATGGACCCTACCTACTCTACATGGACCCTACCTACCCTCACATGACCCTACCTACCCCACATGGGTCCCACCTACTCCCACATGGGCCCTACCTACTCCCATGGACCCTACCTACCCCTACATGGGTCCTACCTACTCCTACATGGACCCTACCTACTCCTACATGTCCTACCTACCCTACATGGGCCCTACCTACCCTACATGGACCCTACCTACCTCTACATGGACCCTACCTACTCCCATGGACCCTACCTACCCTACATGGGTCCTACCCACCTCCTACATGGGCCCTACCCATCTCCTACATGGACCCTACCCACTCCCTACATGGACCCTACCTACTCCTACATGGACCCCTACCTACTCCTACATGGACCCTACCTCCCTCCTACATGGACCCTACCTTGCTACGGGACCCTACCTACTCCTACATGGACCCTACCTACTCCTACATGGACCCTACCTCCCTCACATGGGTCCTACCTACTCCTACATGGACCCTACCTACTCCTACATGGACCTACCTACTCCTACATGGACCCTACCTACTCCTACATGGACCCTACCTACTCCTACATGGACCCTACCTACTCCTACATGGACCCTACCTACTCCTACATGGACCCTACCTGCTCCTTACAAGGACCCTATCGACTCCTACACGGGTCCTTCACTATTTACTCTGCCTTCACTAAACCTGTGATAAAATGAATCACTTTTCCAACAAATTTACTAAATCCCAAATTTGACAAGTGACATTATTTTTTGGGGGAGGGAGGGAGGGGGGATGGTAGAGGGGAGGAGGGGATGAGGAATTAAAATTGACATGATTTATAATTATTTCAGTTAGTAAACATTGTTGAATGAGTTTGGTCAATAGGCTGTTTGTATAGTGAGTGCCCCCCCTCTTATGTCAACACGTCAGCCCGGAATTAAATTGGGAATGGTTGTAGTATACTTTATAAATATGTAATGTACGTTTTTATATGTAGTGTATGTGTGTGTGTAATGGAGTAATATGGCCCTCACACAGACGCTGGGGGAGGGAGGGGTGGGGGGTCACTGACTGGTGGACCATTGGGGCGAGAACTGGAACCTTAAGAACCTAACCTCTTAACCTCTTCAGCACTGGAGGCCGTCTGTATTGCTTAATGAGTGAATGATCGATTATCCACTAGAGTGTGGTGGAGTGGCTGGGGTGGGGGGTGACAGGGTGGGGGGGGTGACGGTGAAAGTGGTGGGGTGAGGTGACGGTGGGGGGTTGACAGGGGTGGGGGTGTGACGGGTGGGATGTGGCGGTGGGGTAACGGGGTGGGGGTGACGGGTGGGGGGAGGGGGAGGGTGACTCATATTAAAATTACAGGTGGTCCAAAATGAAGCCCTTAGATTCGTCACAGGTAAAAGATACCCTTCACCGAACCACAGCCGAGATACATAGAGACCTGAGAATAAAACCCATCAACCAGCTGCACTGGCCAGCAGAGTCTGGCAAAAGATAGAACGATCAGAGCAAGAACTCCTTCAAAGACTCCCACTAGACAACGACAACAACCATATTTGGTTCCAAAAAGTTACAAATCTCAAAAGGTCCATTACCACTGATCTACGGCCAGGCATTAGACAACCTCCTAGACCAGCATCCGCCAGTAGGTCGGCGGAATATGAAATAGGCCTTAAAACACCCATATGGTAAGGGTAGGATGTCTAGTGCCTGTAACGACAGACAATAACAACCCATGACACAACCCTAACACACTATTAGCTTAGGTAGGTGGTCAGCCTGCCCTCTCTTACCTCCTCTAAAATTTCAATTTCCGAACTATAACTTCCTTCCCCTACCTCTAATATTCCTTCAACCTCCTTTACCTACAAAAATAGGGAAGAGGTGACGAAGACAGTGGATATAGGGAGGCGGAGGAGAAGGAGCAGTATGGAGTCGGTGGTGGTGAAGGGGAGGTTGAGAAAGGGTCAGAGGTGTTGTGTGTGTGTGTGTGTGTGTGTGTGTGTGTGTGTGTGTGTGTGTGTGTGTGTGTGTGTGTGTGTGTGTACATATTAACCACCACAGTCTCTATCTCTCCGTCTCTTCATTATCTCATTGCATTCCCTTCATCATTCTCCTGTCTCACCACCAAAACAGAGAGATAACAAGAGACACACCATATATATCTCCAAGTATCTCACACAACAAGAGACACACCTTATATATCTCCAAGTATCTCACACAACGAGAGACACACCTTATATATATCAAAGTATCTCACACAACAGAGAACACACCTTATATATCACAAGTATCTCACACAACAAAGAGACACACCTTATATATCTCCGTATCACACAACAAAGAGACACACTTATATATCTCCAAGTATCTCACACAACAGAAGACACACCTTATATATCTCAAGTATCTCACACAACAAGAGAGAGACACCTTATATATCTCCAAGTATCACACAACAAGAGAGACACACCTTATATATCACCAAGTATCTCACACAACAGAGAGCACCTTATATATCTCAAGTATCTCACACAACAAGAGAGACACACACCTTATATATCTCCAAGTATCTCACACAACAAGAGAACACCTTATATATATCAAGTATCTCACCAACAAAGAGACACACCTTATATATCTCCAAGTATCACACACAACAAGAGACACTATATCTCCAGTATCACACACAACAAGACACACCATATTCTCTCACACAACAGAGACACACCTTATATATCACCAAGTATCTCACAACAAAGAGACACCTTATATATCACAAGTATCTCACACAACAAGAGAGAGACACACACCTTATATATCACCAAGTATCTCACACAACAAGAGACACCTTATATATCTCCAAGTATCTCACACAACAAAGACACACCTTATATATCTCCAATATCACACACAACAAGACAGATATATATCTCCAAGTATCTCACACAACAAGAGAGACACACACTTATATATATAAGTATCTCACAAACAAAGAGAGACACCTTATATATCTCCAAGTATCTCACACAACAAGAGAGACACACCTTATATATCTCCAATATCTCCACACAACAAGAGACACACCTTATATATCACCAAGTATCACACAACAAGAGACACACCTTATATATCTCCAAGTATCACACACAACAAAGAGACACACCTTATATATCTCCAGTATCTCACACAACAAGAGAGACACACCTTATATATCTCAAGTATCTCACACAACAAGAGAGACACCTTATATATCTCCAAGTATCTCACACAACAAGAGACACACACCTTATATATCACCAAGTATCTCCACAACAAAGAGACACCTTATATATCTCCAAGTATCTCACACAACAAGAGAGACACACCTTTTATATCTCCAAGTATCACACAACAAGAGAGAACACCTTATATATCTCAAGTATCACACACAACAAGAGAGAGCACCTTATATTCTCCAAGTATCTCCACAACAAGAGAACCTTATATATATCTCCAAGTATCTCACACAACAAGAGACACCTTATATATCTCCAAGTATCACACACAACAAGAGAGAGAGACACCTTATATATCTCCAAGTATCTCACACAACAAGAGAGACACCTTATATATCTCCAAGTATCACACAACAAAGACACACCTTATATATCTCCAAGTATCTCACACAACAAGAGAGACATACCTTTATATCTCCAAGTATCACACACAACAAGAAGACATTTATATATCTCCAAGTATCACACACAACAGAGACACCTTATATATCTCCAAGTATCTCACACAACAAGAGAGACCTTATATATCTCAAGTATCACACACAACAAGAGAGACACACCTTATATATCTCAGTATCTCACACAACAAGAGAGACACACACCTTATATATCTCCAAGTATACACACAACAAGAGAGCACCTTATATATCACCAAGTATCTCACACAACAAAGAGACACACCTTATATATCTCCAAGTATCACACACAACAAGAGAGACATATATATATCTCCAAGTATCTCACACAACAGAACACACCTTATATATCTCCAAGTATCACACACAACAAGAGAGACACACCTTATATATCTCCAAGTATCTCACACACAACAAAGAGAGAGACACACCTTATATATCTCAAGTATCTCACACAACAAAGAGAGACACACCTTATATATCTCCAAGTATCACACACAACAAGAAGACACACCTTATATATCTCCAAGTATCTCACACAACAAGAGACACCCTTAATATCTCCAAGTATCACACACAACAAGAGAACACCTTATATATATCTCCAAGTATCTCCACACAACAAGAGAACACCTTATATATCACCAAGTATCTCACACAACAGAGAGACACACCTTATATATCTCCAAGATCTCACACAACAAAGAGACACCTTATATATTCCAAGTATCACACACAACAAGAGGAGACCTTATATATCACCAAGTATCTCACACAACAAGAGCACTTATATATCTCCAAGTATCAACACAACAAGGAGCACCTTATATATCTCCAAGTATCTCACACAACAAAGACACACCTTATATATCCAAGTATCTCACACAACAAGAGAGACACCTTATATATCTCCAAGTATCTCACACAACAAAGAGGCACACCTTATATATTCCAAGTATTACACACAACAAAGAGAACTATATATCTCAGTATTCACAAAGAGACACATATATCTCCAAGTATCACACACAACAAAGACACACTATATATTCCAAGTATCTCACACAACAAGAGACACACCTTATATCTCCAAGTATCTCACACAACAAGAGACAATTTATATATCTCAAGTATCTCACACAACAAGAGACACACCTTATATATCTTAGTATCTCACACAAACAAGAGAGACACACCTTATATATATCTCCAAGTATCTCACACAACAAGAGAGACACACCTTATATATCTCCAAGTATCTCACACAACAAGAGAGGACACCTTATATATCTCCAAGTATCTCACACAACAAGAGACACACCTTATATATCACCAAGTATCTCACACAACAAGAGACACACTTATATTCTCAAGTATCTCACACAACAAAGAGACACACCTTATATATCTCCAGTATCACACACAACAAAGAACACCTTATATATCTCAAGTATCTCACACAACAAGACACCTTATATATCTCCAAGTATCTCACACAACAAGAGAACACTATATATCTCCAAGTATCTCACACAAAAGAACACCTTTCTCCAAGTATCTCACCAACAAAGAGACACACCTTATATCTCCAAGTATCTCACACAACAAGAGACACATATATATCTCCAAGTATCTCACACAACAAAGAGACACATATATATCTCAGTATCTACACAACAAAGAGACACACCTATATATCTCCAAGTATCTCACACAACAAGAGAGACACACCTTATATATCTCCAAGTATCTCATAACAAGAGAGACACACCTTATATATCTCAAGTATCTCACACAAACAGAGAGAGACACCTTATATATCTCCAAGTATCTCACACAACAAGAGAGCACATTATATATCTCAAGTATCACACACAACAAAGAGACACACCTTATATATCTCCAAGTATCTCACACAACAAGAGACACTTATATATCTCAAGTATCTCACACAACAAGGGAAACATACCTTATATTCCATATCACACAACAAGAGGACACTTTATATTCTAATAT